GTGAGATTCATGGCTTATACCCACCCAGTGAGATCTATAAGTACATTCCAAGCTTCATCATTTCTATATTTATGACAAAACAATACCAGAGTCTGAGGCTCTCAGAGGACTCCAAAAAAACAACAATCATCTTTATATAATTTTGAAGATTGATTTTATAAAAGTACAGTTGGCACTATTTCAACACATTCTTTCAACTCGTATGCATTTTCCATTTGTGGACATTGGATCAGTTTTRGTATCAAACAATTATCTATGAAATACTTAGTATTTCTCCATTCATAAAGTTGAGGTTTCTCTATAGTTGAATTTAAGAAAAAGTATTTTACGACATAATTTGCTTTTATATGTAATTATATGATGAACAGCATATTACATGGTCGCTTGGAAATATACGAATTTTATCTTCTTGTGTTGAAAATCTATCACTCGTTTGGTACGCTCACTTATAAGAAATCTTTTCAAAACTCGCGAAGATAAAATCCGTATCTTCGCGCGCGCCCATGTAATACCCTCTCAGGAGGAGCCGACGAGGTCTGTTCTTCTAAAYAACTGTTCTTGTAAGAACTTTTTCCTGTGAAAGGGATTTTGAGCTACATTGTTGTCAATCTCACAAGCAAAAATGTGGCGTCCTTCTTTAAAATAATTTTGTTCCTGGCAAACGTTTTTAAGGTCAAAAAGGCTTATACAACGTTTTTATGGTCAAAACTTGCTTATATCTTTTTAGYTGAGTAAATTAAAWAGCATTCCTTGCCTGAAGAGTTCTTTTTTCCTGAATTTCTTGCTGGTAACCAGTTGTTACTTACAGCTGGCTGGGACATAAGAACARAYATATTTCTCCCAGSWACCCGTCGGCTCCTCCTACCCTCTATTYCAKRATGAAAAATGAAAAATCTATWTATGTACTGTGTACGAGACTTTCATTGGGTTTTGGTATCCTTGAAAATTAATCCGAGCATACTTCAGCATCTCATTTACATATCTATGCGGTGCATTAATACCTATAGCAGTCCACACCACAAACATTTTTCAATTGACTAATAATAATAAGCCTACATTTTCATAGTTTCATATATCCAGGCTCGTCTGTGCCGCAAGKCAGACTATAAATTCGCCAATTTTAACAAAATACCATTTTTGGTACTGAAATTGTCACTTACAAATGTCAAGAGATAATTAAAGGTTCTCTCTAAACTGTCAACAATATAATATAATGAATAGCTAGGTTGCTTTACAATGGGAAGTATTTAAGACTTGTTAGAAAATAATAGGGAATATAAGGATGATAAATGTTAGTCAATCGAGCAAAAAGCTGACAGTAGTATAGAATATGATTTTTAAAATACGGATAACCCTGTTTATTGGATTACCTGYGTGGTAAGATAGAATTGTACAGAGATATGCTAATAACTGAATTTGCTGTTTACCCCAAAATAAAATATACAAATCATGCGCTGCTAATAAAATCCACMAGTCTGTCTGTTTGCATAGAGACTTACACCAAAACTTTCTGACATTTTGTTATGAGATTCTGATCTTGCTGCAAATATTAATAATGTGCGGCAAGAGAGTATTTTATTATAAAGAATTTGATGAGAAATTCACGATAATGTCCCAAGTACCGAAAATAACTCCCAAAATTGTACGGGGAGAGCAGGCCACTTATAGTGATGATTCAAGGTAAACATGACAAACGTGTCCCGCGCACGTCTAGTAAAAACAGCGCAGGCTCAGTAGCCCTAAACGCGTATTGTGCGCAAGAGAGGGAATCCATGTTGTCCTAAGCGGGGAAGGAAGAGCGACGACGCTGAACTAATCTAACGTGAAAATCGTGAAAAGCTGCTGCTTTGCTTCTTCTGAGCGGCCGAGTAAAGGTTATATTTGTTACATTACTCGTGTCAGTATTATAACTATAAACATTCTGAGCTTTGCGATACAAAAGGTCACAAAGACAAGTTGTGGTTGGAGGACTGATTAACCTTACACATGCCTATTTCGCTAGGATCATCAGTAAAATCACTAAGAAAGTCATTGTAAAAAAATATACTGTACTTTGCTCATTGTAGTCCTTGTTTTATTCACAGGTGCCAATTCAAGTGAAAAGTTCGATCAATGTGCTTAGATTCTCAGTGAAAACATCGTCTTTGAAGATCGATTGTCGGTTGTGTCAACACCAAAACCCTCAAGTAAATTTCAACGATGTTAGATCTAATAGATCCAAGCATGGGTATCTTGCTGGGTGCAGTACTATTTCAATCTTTGCTACCGGTTTTGTTCTGGTGTTGTGCGACTATGTGCAYGTCAATTTGCACCGAAAATGACGACGASGAGGAGAACCAGCCGAAGCGGCGTAARAAAGGATTTTGTGATAAAGTTCGCGTCCTAAGAGCTTTTTCAATGGCTTTTTACACGTCCTTTTTTCTTTGGCTGATCTACTTTATTGTGTGTAGAGTAACGTCACTATGCGCCCAGCACGAATCCACCCTTGAGTTTCTTAATTAYATGGCAATGGGGATGCTAGTAATTTGTCCATTGTTCGTACTCGTGGAAAGCTTTTTCTCGCTCGAATTGACTTACTTGAATAATATTATGCAGGGAGATACCGCTTGGGGGTACATCCAAAAAATGCATACTGTAGCCCCTGTGATATCAATGACTGTCGAGTGTTACCACATGGAGATACGTACACGTCGAGTGAACCACACTGACGCCCATGGAAACACCACTACACGCAATGAAACGTATCAAGAGCGCGTAGTTACGTATGTGGACAACGATATTTTTAAGTATGGCTGTTGGGTTGATGTGTCTAAGAAAGAAATACCAGCTGCACTCAGAAATGTGGCGCTGACACGGCTCAAGATTGAKTCTGTCATACTTTTTGGTGACCAGGAAACCGGAGCAGACTTTAACCGACAGAAGGAAGATATGTTTTGTAGAAATCGTCACAGAGACATGAACATGGATTTCTCATGTAGACAATTTATTCCCGGTGTAGCGGAACGAATTTCGGCATATGTTGACATGTCAGTTAAGCCGTGGTGGATTGGTACGGGGTGCTTCTGGTTTGCCACTGTGTTAATGCTGACCTGGCCGTATCGCTGGCTCTTCAAAGCAAAGACAGCCAAAAACCACTACGATTTGAAAAAGAAAATGTACAAGTCTACGAGCCCAACACCGGACAATGGTATCATAAATCCTGTTTCCACTCTAGAAGTCGATCCGTCCAATGTCAATCCTTCATTTGTMATGACCAACTTATCCACTAGTGCAAGGCAGACTGACCCGCCGCACTACACCAGAACAGCTAACCCTCCYAACATTGAATCACAAACATACCCTACAGCCAATCATGGGCCATCATATCCTCCTGTCAATCAAGGAGCACAATATCCACCAACTAATCTGACACCGCACTATTTTCCAGCAAATCAAGCAGTAACATTTCAGCCGGCCAATCAGGGGGCTCCGTACCCGTCAACCAATCAAGGAGCGCCATATCCACCGACCAGTCAGGGTCCACTATATTCACCAGCCAATCAACAAATGCCTAGCATTCCGCCACAACATTACGTATCAACGCCTTTGTGAAAATTCTGGTCACGTGTAAGCCAACTTTATTTGCGGTTAATTGCGATAKCCAGCAATGAGGCATTTTTATCGAGTTGCATGAATATACAAGGCAAACAATTATTGCTATATTGAAAATTAATGTTTATATACAGTCTTTTGCAAAAATTATGAGAATTGTCTAAATATCTAAATATCATAATATCCATATCCATATATTGTCCGGAACACGCGGGTTTGCTAGAATAATTCATTGTTGACATCGAGAAAATGTTCAGAACTACGGATAAGTACGTCGCCAAAAAAAAACTAAACAACAAAGACAAGGGACTAAGGGCATCGCGCGGGATCATGCACTTGATATTATGATAAATTTAGATATTTCAACAATTCTCATAATTTTTGCAAAAGGCTGTATATATATATATATATATGAGAGGGGACATCACCAAAGGGGTCTTGTGTCTAGCTGGAAAATACAGTCTTGCAAAAGACGCAATTAATTCACTCGCTGCATCAAAAGAGTCTTAATTCTCTAGCCTCCTTTTGTGCTGTCCCTTCTCATATATAAGTTGTATAAGGAAGTAGCTGATCCCATTAAAGAGTGCTCAATACACATATAGTTTAGAGCTAGTTATATATATGATATCAAACTAAAAGAGGCAAGATTTTGCTGTTACTCCGAGTTTCGTGCTACACATTTCACGTCAACCTCATTTCCAGGCGATCGATTTTATTTTTATTTTTTGTTTAGGAGTGCGGTAGGGAGGTCGACATTTTTCTTTAATGAAAATAAAAAATAATAATGAATAATGARATGAAAACAAAAAAACATTGAAATAAGAATTGATATTTGTATGATAAATTATGGATGCAATTAAGAATGGGAATAGGAATGAGTTGTAAATGAAATTTGAAACAGATTTTATTTCATTTTTGATTTGTATTTGAGATTATTTTCAAATTAAAATGATAAATTGTTTAGAATTTAAAAATTTTCAACAGAAAACAGGGTGATACTGCTGGGCCACCATACAGTTGCCTCTTTGATATCATATATATATCATGTAAAAGTTGAATATCAATGAAGGTTTTAGATTATGTAGGAGAAGTGTTTTTAGCTAAGATTCTAATGAAATCTTTACGAAGTGTGTTTTATGTTTTTTTATAATTTTCTGACAGTATACCGCATAAATTCATGTATACTTTCTAGAATTGTTTCGACCTTAATCATATTATTAAACTTAAAAAGTGTCCGAATGTGTTCACTTTTTATTATAAAATCTAAAAGTAACAGTGAATCTATCTCAAAGTGTACTAATAAACATTTTTTATAAGTTAAACATATGTTCATATTTAAGCTCTACGACTATAAAGTGTGGAGAACTGCATATAAGTTCTGTATTTCTATATTTCTAAACTCCAATTTCTATCATATTCTCTTGCATGGAGAACGTTTACGTAAATAGTGTTGCTGCTGTTGCTGACGGTGCTGTTATATTTGCTTCTGCCTTTCTGATATTTATTGCGCAGTCCCTTGCACCATAGACAGGAGGAGTCTACTTAAAAATTTCAAGCGCGATTGCGCATAGCACCCAACTATTGGGTTACCTGTGGTTGAAGTTCGTCATGACAAATGACGTCATTGAGATGCAACAGGGAATCTGTCGGTAGTTGACTAAAAGAACTAAAAGGTAAGTACTGCTAAA